TGTTCAAAATGAACAGAATTGTGGATGACATGGCGATGAGCAATAACAAGAGCATGACAATAGAGGCCATGGACGCAATTCAGACGATCATGTCAACGATTATCGTGCATGATAAACCGCACACAACAAAAGAAAAGCAGCAGTGGCCGAGCGATAAGAACCATACAGTCACACGACGTTCACACAGAAACAGAAATGATTGCATATAATCCGCTGAAGTACGGAGAAAGTTGTGGCGGCGACCGACTTTTCTCCTACCTATCCACCCTCCCTCCCCACAATCCACCCTCCAACCGCGAACCACGGAGGACGAACTTATCCTGCAGTTCGCGCAGTGCCGCCACGTGTCACACCCGTGATTAACAAACCCTTTTGTGGAGCACGACCAGAAAGTGTGCTCCAATTCCTAAAAGAGTACATGAAGAAAACAAACAAAAAAAAAAAAACTTAAAACACAGGAGCCGCTCACAACACACGCTGTACAGAGCCATCTGGCGACGTGGCCACGTCGCTGGACCACGCAGTCTTCGCCACCCTTATCGTTCGACGCGGTGAGAGATGTTTCCGCACATCCGCCTCAACACACTGCCGCACAGGACCTGCCACCTCACCTATTCGCCACATCCCCCACCCCCAGCACATGGCAACACCCGTCCCGCCTCTGCGCTACCGTGTCCACTTCAAGGCGCACACTTCCTCCTCTCGTCACCACCGTCGACGAAGCGCCGACGATGCGTACCAACCCGCTGCCATGTGCTCGAGATGACGTGTCACTTGCCATCATCTCCATCGTCATCCGCCGCGGGCCCACTGCCGATCCATCCGTGTTTTGCGGCCTCCGCCGCGTTCTTCAGGGCAGCATTGTGCCCGAACGCCAACCCGCAATCACACCACTCCGGAATGCATTGCGGGTAATCTCCCAGCGTGAGGTGGGCCTTCCCTAGACGATCGAGGACGAGGTTGGCGGAGTCCACCACGTGTCGGCGCCAGTTGAATTGTACGACCCCGCCGCTATCATCGTGAGTTTCGCGACCATGGACGCGTACGACCATGCCTCGTAATGCGATCGGTCGTCGTCACCTCCCATGCGCATGATCCACGTGACCGCGCACAACAACGCTCGCAGACAGTCCGCCAGCCTGGACAACCTCTCCTGTTTTACGCGCCCGCCATCCGCCCACTGTCCGCACCAGAGCGCATCTATCCAGCACTCCTCCAGCAGAAGAACTGTCGCCTCCTGCCGGGCCGCCATGTCGTCGTCTTCCGGGCAGTCCTCAATCTTCACCCCCGCGAACCACAGGGGCACGTCCATCTTCATCGCCACCGTGTGGTAGACGAGTGCAGGGGATACCACTCTCGACCATTCCAAGGCCTGCCAAACTGCTCATGCGAGGTCCGTGGCGAAGTCGACCGTGATGTAGGACTCTGCACGACAGAAGCCAGTCCACCTCGACTGCGATTTAAAGATCCAACCGTGGATGGTGCGCAGCACTACTCTCTCCACGCTGCTYGCTCTGCGGAGAGCCGGTTCACGCTGCGCCGGGTCGTCGATCTTGAAGCGAGGCACATCGTTCGGCGGCATGATGAGCATCGAAGGCGGCTCAGCTCCTGCGTCTCCGTTGGCGACGGCGACGAAGTAGTCGGTGCATTCGCCTACCGCCTCCCTCAGAGGTTTCCCGGGGCCCTGACCCCAGAAAGCGTCGCAATCAACCCACAACTTGGCCTTCTCTTGCAGCTCGTCCTCCTTCGGCGCTCCCTTCCCCCTCGGCACAAGTGGACGGTCGTCGCCGTCATTGGCCTCCGGCTTTCCGTCTCTTCGGCCATCGTCACGGCCAACATCGTCGACCCCCACCCTTTCCGCGCCTTCGACGACTCTGCCTTTAGTTGTGTGGTCTGCCGCCGCTGTCCGACTGGCGGTAGCCGTCGCGTCGCCCTTTTGCATGGTCGCCATGTGCCCTCCCCCTGTCGCCAACACGTGTTGCAGGGGGAGTGGCTGACGTGGCTGACCTTGGCCTGCCGCCGCCGAAATTTGTCCTGCGACCCGCGCGGCCGTGACGACAACCCCTGTCGTGTTTGGGGACCTTGGCACCGTCCCGGCAGCACCGCCAACAACGCTGCGTCTCCCTGCTTGCAGCTGCTCCCTCGACACTCCATCCCGTCCGAAACCCAACCTCACGACCCCTGTCGTCCCTTGCGCGTCCACCATAGCCACTTCGTCTGCGAGGAAGTCCTCAGTTTGTGAGGAGCTCGCGTCATCGATGCGCTGCCTTTTCGACTTCAGTATGTGGCCTCTGCCTTTGTTGGTTTCCCCACCGTTGCCCACCCCGCCATCTTTCCTGCCCCTCGCCGAGGCTCCCCGTGAGGGCATCTGGTCCGCAAATCGGCAACAACGACCACATAAACGAAGGCTTCCTTCGACGAAAGAGCGCGCGGAAGAAGGACGCCTGTGACTGCTTCCCAGTTCTTCCACGTGGACGGAGGACAACGTGGACGATGCAGATGACGGGGCAGTGGTCGTGGAGCCGCGACGACGATGGCGACCGAAATGGGGATCGAAGACGACGAAACACGTTGGCGGAGGAGCACGTCCACGAAGGATGACGTCGACGAACGAACGCGTGGACAGAGGCGGCGCTCAAGTCCTTGAAGCGCGGCACGCGGGCGAAGAGGAAAGCTGGCGCGACGGGGACGAGGGACCGCCTGTTTGATGCGCATGAAGGGGCATTGTCCGCGCAGCACGATGCGGGAGCGTGGAGCGGCGGCGTGGAGTTGCAAGGCGCGCGACGATGAGCAGGTAGGCAGACAGTGCGAGAGGGAGCCATGGGTAAGGAACCACCGCGGTACGAAATGGCGGGCGGAATGTCTTTTTTCCATGTACATCGATGTGGAAGTACACCGTGGACATGAGTCCCCGTCCACTACAGCCCGCCCCTTCGTCGCTCGCCCATGGTCCGTTTTCCTCCACAGGCGCATGTCATCCCTCGCATGGCCAACATCCTTAGTGGGCGCGCAGAAGGACCCTAGCGGAGGTCTAAAAAGCCCGCCAAAACAACGACCCCCTCCCGCCCGAAAATCACACCCTTCTCTGAAACCCCCGAAGCTCGCCATCCATGCGTGCCGGCGACGCCTCACTGCAACAGTCCTAATATTCTATAATCAGACGACGTATCGCAACACCGAAGGACGTGCCGCAGAGCATGACAGCAATCATACCCATTCTACAATGAAATCATGAAATAAATGCATACCTAAAAAAAGAAAAAAAAAACCGTGCGTCCAAAAAACAACCAGCCGTCTGTACACAACCAGCACATCTCGTCACTGCAGCAGCAGGACAATGACGGCACGCGTGGCGGGGAGACGTCACGATCACACGCGGATCGCTTTAGCAATCTCCATAAGTGCTTCGCACATCATCAAGTTCGCCTGGTCGGACTTAAAGTAGTGTTCCTTCTGCACTTCAACCTCTCGCTCCAGAATGTCGCACTGCCTGGTCAGAATTGAGCACTGTCTCTTTCTCGCGCTGTCCACGGTTGACGCCATCACACTCTTGTGCTCCTTCATGACGTCTGCAATCGTGTCGAAGGTCTGCTGTCTCACATTCTTTCGTTTGCTGCCCCCGCCAACACCACCGCCGCTGATAGAATCCTTTGTGGACCCCTGATCGTCGTCCTGTCCATCCCCGCCCCCCTCACCACCGCCGGATTCATTCCGACCCTCGCGTGGGCCCGGCATTTGAACACCTCTAGTCGCACTGGTGTCGGCGAGATTGGTGGGGTGTATGGTGTGATCGCTCCTGGTCATCGCCGCCATCTCCGAATACACACGCTCATCCATCCGGAAATCGAACCCCCGCTCCTTCCTCTCGCCATGCGTCAGTGTGAAGAAATTTGGCTTCCCCGATTCTCCCATAAACTTGTGCACGGTTTTGAATTGCTGGTACAGGTTGTCCCATTTCTTCCCGCAATCGACGGCCTTTCTACTCTTGACCCCCATGTGCACCAGCCTCTTCTCCACGTCGTCCCACTTCCATGTCTTCGTCTTCATCCTTCCCGTGGTGTGCGCGAGATCGGCAAGATGCGAATCCTGGTCTCTTTTTGCCCGAATGAGAGCAATCATGTGCTCCACGGTCCAAAAATCCCGGCTTTTCGATCCCTCGCCAGCCGACGCATCTTCCACACCCTTCTTCCTCCTCCGCCCCGCGCGCGTTTCAGGCAACTTTTTCGCGGCCGTCGACCCTCCGCGCTTTCTCCCCAGTGGATGAATCTCCATGTCCTCGTCGTCCTCCTCGTCGTCGTTACCGGCCCCGTCGTCCGCCTCGCAATCCTCCGCAACTCCACCGTCTTCATCGCGTAATGTATCATCCGCCCCCATGCTAATCTTCGCCACCCCTCTCGTTATGCCGGCCGTGCTCGCTTCACGCTATTGCCGCCGATGATCATCCCAAAACTTTCGACCAACGACCTCCGTTGCTGACCACTCTTCGTTTGGGCGTCGTCCGTCCACTGTGCCACCTGCTGTCGTCGTTCTACACGGAACTGATCGCCCAGTCTGCGTTGTCACTGGAGGCGGTGCGTGGGTGGTGCCCGAAGCTGGGTTCACGATAACGGTGCGCGTCGCCTCCTCGGCACTTCCGGACCTCAATCCGAAGCTGAGATCCACCAGTCCTGCGTCATAACCAGCCGGGGCACGCCCCTCTAGCAGATCAGTGTACGTCGTCGTCGATGCCCGCCTGTGCAGCTGGCTCCCCATCCAATCCTGAGTCGAACCGCTGCCCAGAGGAAGGGTAGAACATCGTGGGTCGTCGCCGTCATTGTCACTTGGAGGCAAAGGTATGTCGTGGGACGGCAGGTGGCTGTACAGTGCGGGGTTGTACGGCCGACTGACTGCTTCCGCACTTCTGCAGCGCTGACGTGACGACCCCGCAGCTCCAACGGACAGCGTGGTCCTCGTCTGTACCCTCTCCATCTTCCTGGCCGTCTTCGACGTTCGCCGCATCTGTTTCCTCCCTGGAACGCGCACGAGGCAGCAAATATGGAAGACGACAACGGCAAGCAGCAGCAAAACGGCGAGCAGCAGCAAAGGCAGCCTGCGGTACAGGTCTGCCATGAGCTACAGGGCAGCAGAAACAGAAGATGCGCTTGCACGGGGCCAAGCGCGGCGAACAGACACAAACGGTGCGAGAGGGAAGACACCAACGAATGAAATTGATGCAATCTCCATGGTGGCTGCAGTAGGGCGCCTACAAAATACATATTTTTCGACCGTTGTGGAGCACGCGGGAACGGCACGACCACTGCAGGAGCCGGCCAAAGACGTCCGATGCTCGCCGGTGCACCTCCGCCGGGACACCCGACGAACCGACAGGGCCGTCCCGCGACAATCACCGCCAACGGTAAAACGACAAGGCCGTTACTTGACCTTTTGGACGCCCACTCCTCGGGATGTCCGTCTTCCGCCTTCCGGACCACCTCTGGACCACTTTCGACCTCCGTTGCCCCTTCGTGACGCGCCGCCGATAATCGCGGATCCTCGGGCTCCAAAGGACCTCGCGAGGTCCCTTGAACCCGAGGACGATTTGGCTGGGAAATCCTCGGAGCCCGAGGATTTGTCCTCGGGAGTGTTTTCACATTTCTGTTCCGAAAATCGGCTCCGAGGACAGGTGGAACGAAGACGGAATCCTCGGAATCGCGTCCCCGAGGAGTGTCGAACGACGCCCAAAGTTGAAGATTTGATTTTGAGGAGGCCATCAGTGACAGCTGAAGGGAAGGTTGCCCACTTGCACCTCTGCTTTTTGTCCTGCAAATGGAGGTTCTACTATTCCTCAGGGCATACTCACACCCGGACTTTTTCGACTGAGTTCTCTGACGGTGATTGCAGTCGGTCGGTTGCATCCTGATCCGTCTGCAACTGCGGCAACATGCGTTTAGTCTAAGAGAAGTGCTAGCGTGAGTAAGCCCTCTAACTGCCATTTCGTCAAAATAGTTTTTTTTTTTTTTTTTTTGTAACGAAATTGAAACCGAGTTTTTTGGCCTAGAAAATCATCCAAATTTGCTGCTCCTAAGGGTCCCACATGGATGTATCTGGTCTCCACAGACTCTCCAGCTAAGTCCCTATACATCCAGGGGGTCCAGCGTTTTAAGAACGGTGGACCCTCAAGCGCAGCAAATTTGGACGAGTTTTCGGCCAGAAAACTCGGTTTTAATTTCGTTAAAAAAATAGAAAATATCCATTTTGACGAAATGGCAGTTCTCTGATCAGAGGTACTGTCTTCACCAGAATAGAACGCCCGGTAACTATTGCCGTATCTGGACTGAAAGTTGCACCAAATACAGATATAATGACCGGGGGTTCTATGCGGGTTAAGATGGTAGTCCCAACAGCTGAGGGGAAGGCAGAACTAGTTGGAAGTAGTTAACTTTGTTTCCTTTCTTTCTTTTTAAACGGAAAATTGCATGTGTACCCCGATGATAGATGGGAATACCAGCTATACTCAGTCCCATTGCCAAGTTGCGTCTATAGACTCTATACTTACCAGAAAATGGCTCGTGGAAATTGTTTGCATGCCCAGGACCAACGTGGACCCAGGTTGGTACTGCAAAATTGCGGTTATAACCAACTACTAGAATGCACAAATTATGGACATACCCAGGCAAAATTATGGGCATACCCGGTACCTGAGGAGGAGAGGCCAAATTATTCACATACCCTGCTACCGGATGGCTGAATTTATGCTCCTACCCAGCACCCGTTGGGCCACAACCGTCCACTTGGTGGGCATGAGCATAATTTTGTGCCCCAAATTTAGGGCCTTCGGAATTAGGTACACCTACAATTTCGCACAGGGGAAAAGCTGGGTACTATGCAAACTCGAACACCTACAATTTCGCACAGGGGAAAGGCTGGGTACTACGCAAACTTGAACGGCCTTTGGGTATAGATGCAAGTTCGCGATGGGACTGAGTATAGCGGATATTCCCATCTTTAAGTGGGGTATGCAATTTTCCCTTTTTGAAAATGAAGGACGACGGCCCTGAGATATCATCATGGAGTTGAGCAGCCCTAGGTAATTCAGAATTATTTCAGTGCATACATGGAGGTCCATCAAATCCAAACTTGGGTCTTCTTCCACATTCACCTTTCACTACCTACCTACCCCTACTACTAAGGCTATAAAGGGGACCCCTGCAAGCATAACTGCCTCTCAAAGTGAAGGGGATTTTCTATGTTGCCCCTTGCCCTTAGGATACCTTCTTCCCCCAAACATAACGCATATGCGTTGTAAACGAATACAACACATAGGGTGCGTTCGATTTGAATACAACACGTACGTGTTCTATGTGAATAGCCCAGATTTTCGAATATAAAGCATATGCGTTCTACTCGTTTTTTTTCCAAATTTGGAAACTCGAATAGAACACATGTGCGTTATGTTCGGGGGAAGAAGGTAGTGTTGTTAACAATGTGGGGATATTTGAGAACGAAAAGAAAACTTAGAAAAGGGAAAAAAAAAGTGGCTACATCGTTGGAAGTCGAAAAAGACTACATGTGTGCTGATGTTTCCATGTCTACTTCTGAGTGACTGAGCCTACTCAGTCAGATCATGAGTTGAGTCGTCCGCGGTGCCACATTGCATCATATTGTCTTGATTTTGATTGCATTGCTACTCTTTGAGTTTTCCATTCAGATCGGTGATCTGTTGGAGTCAGCACACTGCCTCTCTGATGATAGGGCCTGGCATGCATCAGCGTGTGTGTGCAAAAGAGAGGTGGGAGGGGAGGGAGTGGTGCAGGGAACTCCAAGGAAGGGGATGCAGAGACAATGACTTCAGTGCATGTAGTTGATAGGAACTGCAGCATCTTTCCGACCAGTGGCTGATGGGAGAGGTGAAGGAAGACTATGTCTCCCCTGCGGTGATGACCACGGGGTCAAACTTGGCCTGCGGTCAGGATCCCGACCACAGGCCTTGGCCACTTGGGTTCGGCCCAGAATTTATCATATTAAAAAAAAACCTAACAGACCGAAAAAATAAAATAAAATGGGGTTGTAGGGTTTGAAAAGCCCTATACAAGCCCTTTTTTTTTTTGGATTTCAAGTTTCAACGTTGTTTTTCCTTTTAAAAAACTAGAAACGAAAAAAACAGTATTATAATCAAAAGAAAAGCTGGGCTACCTGCCGGGACGCCCGGGTCACCCTTTTTTTCCCCGGCCCAGCCGTGCAAGGACCAGGGAAGGTTCCAGGAAGGAAAAAAAAAAAAAAAAAAAAAAACGAAAATCACTTTGTTATGCAGAAAAACTAAACTGAACAACTTTTGCCTCAGGGTCACATCGAAATTCTTTGTCAAATGTAAAATAAAAAATACAAATATATATATATTTTTAATTGTTTTATTTTGTTTGGCCCGGCCGGGCAAGTGGTCCTGGGCCACTCTGGCAGCCTAGAAGAACAGTAATTTAAAAAAGGGGATTTTTTTTTTTTCAGTATTTTGTGATCTCTGGTGGGATAAACATGTTGCACATGTTTGTTTTTTTATCTCTTTTATGGACAGAATCTGATGCAAAGATAAAAGGGGAAAAAAAAAAAA